CTACTCGCAGGGTACGGATGACGGGCAGTGGATTTGCTTTCAAGCGAACATACAGACATGCGTCTAATCAACGTGAAGTCGCGGACTAGCCACAAGAGTCGTTGCAGGACGCGAACTTGGTGTCAAACAATCTGACCGTTCTGCTAAGTACGATAAGGTCCTATGATAGGATTGATGGATACTGCTAACATATATGTTAATTTATCTCTCCTGTCGTGCTACTGTATTCAACCAGTCGAAATGTAAAAAATTATGCTACATCTCATGAAAATTATGGCTAGTTTAGTGATGCATATTCAAACTCATGCCGAGGATTCCGTACTTAGAACTAAACTGTGGCCGAACATTTACTGGTTAATCGAACTTGTCAGTTGTCCAAAATTTTCTCTCGGTCATCAATTTAAACAGTAAATTCACAATATATGTACATTTTCCTGCAGCGCTTGCCCCCTAGTCGGATTTAATGAACACTGATTCATATGACTGGAGTACGCATTCGTGACTCATTTTTTGTTGCGAGCACTTGGTTTTCCAAATGCATGTTCTCATCATAGAAACCCCTAATTCCTTTGCGCGTCCTTTGTTTACGTTACCGCGTTTTTCTATTCGTGCACATAATCAGCACTAATCAGTGGTCTGTGCCATAAATTACCACTCCATACTTGCCTGATTATTTCTCTTCCAGTGTCTGCGAAACCACTGGAATAGATCTACCGCCAGCACAGCTCCAATCCCAGAATCTTATCGTTTTGTGATAGTCTGATATCATCTGTCAGACTTTCTTATTGCATTATTGTCCGCGCATGCTATTCACCTGTCTTTGAAGAAGAATGACAGTTGATGCTCATTTGTTCGGGTCTCGGAGGAGTAGCTACGGCAACCGAGCACCCTTCTTATGGAGTCCTACTTGATCCAACTAATTAGGAGATGCTACCTCCTCCGACCCACATGCATCATTGTAACCTCATTTACGGTAGAAGGCTCATCGGCAACTTGCGTCCCATAAGATCTGTGTCAAGTAGCACGTTGGAAACACAAGTATTATCTTTTTGCAGTAGCTTATATGTCCTTGAACGTCCATCTCTTTTTGTAATGAGAGATACACAATCGTCGCAGCTATTTCGAATGACACTAGCGTCGCTTCAAATACTTCATCATATCGTAGGATGTAAGGAATGTACCTCCTGCCGTTAAATTCTTGTGCCCTATTCGCAGCGCCATTCGTTTGTCCGTACTTATGCTTACTTTCTTTATCGCGAGAGCCCGTACCAGTAATCCCTGGCCCCTCTGGAGTGCATTCCGTTTAGTAGTCTACCGCATTAATTAGCTTGGAAGCCTGCCATAGATGGCAGTTCAGAAGGAAACAAACCGATGTCGCGTTACCATTAAAATGTCACCGAAAGAGTCTATGGGTTAATAACTGATGATCTGCAGATCGTCAGTTATTAACAGCATAGTGCTTTAATTCACTCTTCACTTCTTCAAAACGGCTTTCAGTCATTTAGCCGGGGCCATCCGGAGAAGACTTGGCTACGAAGCAATCGCATGGGCCTACTCCAGTTTTTACTTTCTGGACGAATGAAGGCCGTGCGTGGTATCGTTATGTCGCTAACTGACTAGGGTCGGGGTGTGAACTCAAACTGTGGTAGAAGTTAGGATACATTAAACGACTATTTATTGCTGCCCTGCTTCCGATCTATGAGTAAAACTGTCATTAGGATAAAATAACAGTCCCATGAGATGAGGGAACGAGCATGGGTAGGCGAGACCGTTCCTCATGAATCAGGTTCAGGCATCCTTGCACCTGTCCGAACGATAGAAGATAAGACGAGATGCGAGAACTACCGCGGCACATGTCTTCTCTACGTGGTTGCGAGGATCTTCCCTATCGTCATTTTCAGAAGATTACAGGCTCAAAGTAACGCTAGGACAACGCCCAACCAGGCCGGCTTACATGCTGGGCGTGGCTCTGCGGACCGCAAATTCATACTGAGGCACTTCCTTGAATTCCGATATAGCTATTAACACGACTGTCTGCCTTGTTGACTTTGCCGTCGTGTTAGATTTCGTCCATCGTGAATCCCTATAGCGGATAATGGCAATAAATGGCGTACCACCAAAATCATCACCACGATCAAACCCTCCTACTGCTTCACCGCTGTGCGAGTTCTGCTCTATAAAACATTTCGGAACCCTTTGCTATTCGGTCTGGCGTTCGACAAGGCTGTGTCCTATCATCC